GAGACTCGTAAGAGAAAAAAGTGATCTGATTCAGAGGTCTCCCCGGGTGCCCAAGCCAAAAAGATGTCCTTGCTGTCAATAGAAATTCTAGAGGAACATGGAGTACCAGACCCCTTGGAAGGATTCCTGGGGGAAATTGTTTCAAATGAAACAATTATTAATGGATCAGAGGTCGCATACGTGTATGATCATAACTATATGGATGATATTAGTACCTCTGGAATCTACCAAGAGGAATTGAACCAAATCAGCGAAACTACTTCAGGCACAGGGTTTCCAGTAAAGCCAATTCCTGAAACCAGAAAACCGGTGCAGAATGGATCAGCGGCTGAGTCACCTATGACCCCGCCAGAGGAGGAGGACGATTCTTCCAGCTCTGTGGGACAGGCTGCATCTCTACCCGCTGAGCCACTCAGATCGCAGTGGATTTCCCAGGAAAGGATGACGACTACCTGATAACTGCATGCTCAGATATCAGACGCCAGGTAGCAGCAACCCTACCTACCCCCTGCCACTGGTCCACTTCACCATCTCCAACCTGGTGACTTCGTGCTGGTCAAGGACTTCCGGAGAAAGAGCTGGAAATCCAACCGTTGGCAAGGTCTCTACCAGGTGCTCCTCATCACCCAGACAGCGGTCAAGGTCACCGAGAGAGCCACGTGGGTCCACGCCAGCCACTGCAAGGTCGTAGTCACAGGCCAGGAGAGACGGTAGAAACAGACGACAACAAGTGATGTGTCCTAGTCACCAACGAAAGACGACAACAAGTACCACCAGCACCACACTGGCACCACATACACCTAATCTCACACTGCACACACAGGATGTCATGAGCCAGTGCCAGCTAAGCTGTTTCATATGCCTCTGGTTCCTCGTTTGTGCTATCATTGTGTGGGGACTCATTGACCTTGTCACAAAGTCATGAGCGATTATTGACGAGGTCTAAAAAATCCATAACAACTGTCGACCGAGTTATCTGGTTTTCGTTTGGAGATGTCGTCCAGCGAAAAACTGCAACCCCTCCATGGTCAGGGTCAAGGATATACATCAGATAGCAACATGGATTTAGGAGTCTACAACAGATGGGCCCCTCGCCCAAGGACATTCCTGTACGGTACTATGTTTTCGGTGTTTTTTCACACCAGGTTCATCAAAGGGTCGTCCTGATTACACATACTGAAGAACTTTTCATGATATTGATGCTTGGAGTTTTACGGATGTAATATGTATGTGTGTTTACGATTTTATCTGTTGCTGTTTGATAAACTTTGCGTTTGAAAAGAGGGTGTTGAGATCTTCATATGAAGTGAATACTTAAAACGAAAGTTAATTGAGATCATGGAATGAAGTGAATACTTAAAAACGAAAGTTAATTAATAAATCATACATGATCAATCATATTCTTGTATAAACCCATAATGAGAATGCTTCTTGACGGTTTTTGAATATGTATCTATGCTTGCAATTTTTTCTGTTGCTATTTGAGAACTTTGCGTTTTGAAAAGAGGGTGTTGTGAGTTTTCATAGTATGTTTAATACTTAAAAACGAAAGTTAGTTATAATCAAATATAATCAATTATATTCTTGTATAACCCACAATGAAAATGCTTCATATTTTAGGTTTTCTATAGTTACAGTATAAACAAAACAAAGTGGTTTGTTTAGGTTGAGTTTTCTTCCTCTCCTCTGGCAGCAGTCCACAGGGAGGGGGGGGCTTCACACTAAGGGGAGAAACATTAGAGGCCAAAGAGAGTTCATGTCCTTTTCACACTAACATGAGAAAGTGAGTCTTATGTCATAAAGCTATGGAACATGTTGAGGCATGTTCAGCCTTGTACATTATAGGACATGCGCAGTTCTTCACAAATTAGGTATAGAGGAGGAGTTTGTTTTTTGGGTTTTCGATCCAGTTTTTTTAGCATAAAGAGACTGGTTTGTTGAGAGGAGACACAGAGAGAGGGGGGGTAACCCCTGGTAGACTCTCTCCCGGTAGGCTGTGTGCTTCAGAGCTGGGTTAATAGCTCTCGGTAAGGTCCTTCCAGACGGGGTAAATATCTCTCGATTTTCTTGGTTGTTGGCTGAGTGGAATGATTTGATGAGAGATGTGTTGGTGAATATTATAACCCGCGACCTGTAAGGACCTTCCTTCGAACTCTTGGCGGATAGGAATGTGTTTTTGACAGGTTAATCCGCCGTCTGTGTCGGAAAAAAGGTATGAAACTGATGTGAATTGAGTTGGTGAAATGAAAAAGTTGAATGCGCTTTTTATTGTCACCGGTCTTTTTACGAGGAAATACCTCTAAATTCTATCGGGAGAATTTTAAAATGTCACAACTGAAATGGGCAGTTGGAATTAAAACATTTTGGTAATAAATGTAAGACTGTGAATTAAAGTTTCATATTTGAACATGATCACAGCACCAGGTTTTTTAGTATGATTATAATGTTGTAAAGAGAGAAGGTAAAAACCCTGTATTAGTTTGGACCTATTTTTCTTCAAATAAACTGATCCCACCTTTTGGACTGGGATAATTTAAAAGACACCTGTGCCCTCCTCTCCTGCTTCCAAGGTAAGATTGCACCCTGCCACACACACTTAGGTAGGAGCACACTCCATTTACTGATATCAAAATCCTTCGGGATCGCTTAAACAGATTAAAAAAGAGTTGTCTGAATTGAAACAGCAGTTAATTGAAACCTTGGTTCTTCGGGAAGTTAGTAGAGGTGAGATCTTGCTGACGTTGGTGGATCTGAGCCAAGCCGCAACCTTACATAGACTCAATAACTTCGGAAAGGTCAATTAGTAGGTCAGAATAATTTACCGGAATAAATTATCAGGACCACCAAAACTCTAAACAAGGCGCAAACGCTTGCCTCGGGGAGGGAGAAAAAGAGCCACAGTAGAGAATAAACAGAAGGGCAACCATGGCAACCATGCGCGGGAAGTCTTCTTCGCTGCTTTTGTGGCAGACTACAGCGCCACTTACAGGCCTGGCATATGTACTACAGCATCTCCAGCGCTTTCGAGCAGCAATGGCCGGCCGTGGCCCAACCTCTCATTCCCCTGATAGGTGGAGAATTGACCAATAGCCGTAGCACCACCGTCCTGACGTCAGGACAGTGTTCAAATCTGGATCAGTCTGTATCAGATCCGTTGCAGCCCCTTTATTTTTTAGAGATTTGGGTATGGAGGAAAATAGAGAGGGTTGTGTTTTCTGACACTTGGTGAGTTCCCTGGAACACCGGGGACACATATTCATGTATAAAAGACGTACAAAAGTGCATTTTGTATGATAGGTCCCCTTTAAGTAAACATTTGAAGTACTTGTACTGCAACTTCTATTTCACTACATCGGAAAACTATGGCACATTTGACTCTATTCGATGAAATTTTTTGAACAGCTTCATTAGTACCTTTGCAAATTAAGAGTAGAGTTGAAGTAATGTGGGAAAGTTCAGCGGAGGTCATTAACTGTGACAGGAAGTCATGTTTAAAGAGCCGTGTTAGCCCAGCATTTTAACTAAGTAAAACTACTTAAACTTCTTTTGCAATTTATGAAGTGTCATATTGCTACTGTTTAGTCACTTCCCAAATTAACTATTCTTTTAACATTAGTTTGTTAATTGAGGCAACAGCTACCCTGACTTGTATCTAGTGTTTGTAGTCAGACTGCAGCTAAAAAGACATACATACATATATATATATATAAATATATATATATATATATATATATACCGACACACCACATCACACTGCTTCAGTCAGTTTTGTGTTTACTGGCGACCGCTTGATTTGACACTTTATCAAAGTCCCTCCGTGACGTCCCTCCTGAGAGCAGATCTGATGGTGAAACTTTTGAATCCTTCCCGGTCGTCTTTGGACCAGAACCTGAATATCCAGACCCATCGATCAGTAGAAGCGTTAGAGTTCAGGCAGTCTTTTTTAGAAAATGCATAGAAGAAGAAAGGTCCAAAATGCCCTTTTTTTAGCAGGCTGAGGGGCGGGGCTAAAGGGCAGCACAAGGGTTTGTGGGAGTTGAAGTTTAGCTGCAGAGGGTGTGCAGAAAGAGGCATGGTAGAAAAAATGCATGTTGTAATGAATGGATGAGGGAGTTAAGACTGCGTGTGCATGAGGCATCACAAAGGCATATTTTACATGCTACATTTTATACCTGAAAGCTAGCATCGCAGCGGTTCCCTCGACAAGAAGTCGAAAGTATTTTTCCTTTGGATTTTTAAAGAAAATGAGCAACAAAGTGACAAATAACATTTATGAAACTTATACGTTTTGTTCAGCAGGATAATATTGACGTATTAACACCAGTTTTATCATTTTTTAAGCAGAAATGCAATCTGCAGAAGTAAAAAGCTAACGTTAGGCTATAAAGGAACTACATCAAGGTCACATGACTTCACGTCACCACTGCTAAGCTAAAGGCGGCTAATGTTCAACGAGAGACATTTACTCCTCTTATTAAGTCACTTGTTTGCAAACGTAAAAACATCATAACTCACAAGTTAGGTGTTGTATTTGGGCATCTAACCAACAACCCCTTCAAGACGAGGGAACTCAGAAGTGCTACAATGCTAACTCATTTCAGGGTTTAGGACTCATTCCTGCACCTCTTTATGTGGGACGTATAGGGGGATGGCATGGTGGTGTGTGACAGGTCTTGATGACAGGTGACAGGAAGTGTGTGTGTGAGTGTTGTGACTTAATGGCATTGTCTGCTGCCTGCAGCCCGCTGTCGCTCTGCAGGACGAAGGCTGAAATAAAATGAGGCACTTTGTTATGATCCAGAGCTGCAGGACGTAGCATCCACCGCTGTTGCTATAGAAACAGGTCATCTTGCTGGCTGAGTTGCCGAGGCGATGTCATGGTAATAGACGGCCAACAGGACCACAGCTGGACCTGAAGTGTGTGTGTGTGTGTGTTATGGCTCTGTTATATCATCAGGGCAAAGTTCTTTTTTTTTTTACAAGCAAGCAGGCAAATCAGATCATCTCTGGTCTATTTAATCTCACATAATATTAATATTTTATAATAGTAATAATGTCATTGAGCCTTTTACATATTCAGCTTTTATAAAAATAAAAAAATCATTCCAGTGATATTCACATGCTCAGATTACACAGAATCACAGGAAAGCGCCTCCAGTAAAGGTTCTCATGTTGTTTGCATACGAGTTTAAAGTTCAGGAGACGAAGATGATGATGATGAGGAGGATGAGGAGGATGAAGGTGAGGAGCAGGGCCTGTATCACAAGCACTTTATCTCACTCTGTTTATTCTCATTCCCAAACTCAGTGATACTTATTGCTGGTATCTTAAAGCTGGTAACAAACGTTTCCACATTAAAACGTTCTTAATTACAGCTAATCACGTTTTAAGGCTAGTACATCCTTTCCAAATTCAATTTTAAAGACATGATCATCATATTCTACTGACCTATATACATATAATTCATTATTATTTTCTTTTAATAAAGTTATTACAACTCCTTTTTCCAGTAATGTAATTGGTTAGTTGTCATGCTGTTGACAATGCGCTCATTTTGCTTCGTGATACAGGTCTCACGATGTACTGAAGGATGATGGGTAAAAAAATAAATAAAGTTGGTTAATTTGATGGCTGTGTGTGCAGCTGTTATGTCATTGGCCCATCAGAGGCCTCGAAACCCGCCCACCAGCCAATCGAAAACAAGTCTTTGTTAGTTTGCTTTCATAAAGTATTATCATCCAATAAGATGCAAGAAGAGGCGGTTCTTCTCTCAGCAGGCCAATCAAAAAAGCCCTTATAAGTAGCCTAGAAAAAAAGGGGAAAAGAATCAGCCAATGAAGAACGTCCTCGCTGTGAGCCAATCAGAGAGAGAGCCCGCCCAATAGTTCCCGCTCACCAAGCCGACTGCCAATCAGAACCTTCGTCAGCGTCTTTGGGCTCGGCTTCAGCCAGGGGCCCGGGGTGTCCCCGTGTTGCCACGCCGACTGGGCTCTCCTCCAATCAGAATCCTCCTCCCTCCACCCGGCAGGCCATGTGATGGTGGCTGCTGATTGGCTGACATCTGAAAAGCTGGTTGCTGATTCGCTGTCCGACACACGCTGGCGCTGATCGTCGTCATCTATTGGCATGAGGAAAGAGAATGGGGCACCTGAGCTCCCAGAATGCTTTGCGTTGCGGGTTGACCTGTCCTCTCTCTGCTCCATGGACTCCTCCCTCCTCCTGCTCTTCGTCTCGCTCCTCTTCCTCCTCCTCTCCTTCACTTCTTCTGCAGACTCCTCCACCTCCTGCGGCACCAACGTGTCCCAGGATCGGGCACTGATCCTGGGTAAGCTCCTGCTCTTCTTCCCCTGCTCCCTCTGGTTCTCCAGCTTCTCTTTCGGCCTGACAGTCTGACTTTTTCTCCTCATCTCCTCCTCCTTACTCCTCTCCCCCTTTTCCTCCATCCTGGCCTCTTCCTCCACCACATCTAGGTCCAGATCAGGAGGCCCTAACCCTCCTCCTCCTTCTCCTCCTACTCTTCCTCCTGTTCTTCGTTTGGTTTCTCCCTCTCTCCTCGTCTTCCTCCTCTCTCCTACTCCTTCTCCTCCTCCGGTACCGCCGCCTCCTCCCCTCTGCTGGCTGAGGGAGGTGGTTCTCATGGTCACTGTTTCCACATCTGGCTCCTCTGTGTGTGAAGAGGAAGAGGGGGAGAGGGCTCCTTCCTCAGGGCCTGCCGGACAAACAGAGAAACACATTGAGCTGCAGTTCCTCTAACGTCCACTTTGGTCACAAATGTAATGAAATCCATGCTATATTGCTGCTTAAACAGTGTGTGCCTTGCCTTGGGCAGAATACACATTTGCAGTTAAATCAGTTTAATGAGTTAAAAAATGTGTGAGAGAGTGTGTCATAGTGTCGAAGTCACGCCCATCTACTTCCGCCCCATGGTGGGACCTTATTTCGGAAACATTTTGTATTGAAGTCAATGGAGAGAGAAAACGTATCTTTCAATCCCGTTTGAATTGTGCCACGAATTACACATATGATGTTTGTCAATCTTAAAAAATTATTTCCGTGTCAAAAAAGTCACAGTTTTTCGTAAAACAGTTGAAATATACGACTATGAAAAATACGCAACTAGAAAGACTACAAATCCCAGAGTAAGTGATGTCACAATTGTTTTCCTCCACTAAGAGATAGCTAAAATCAGCGCCATATAGATATAATCTATCTATATGGCGCTGGCTAAGATAAGATAACTTTAACAAGATGCCTGTGTGCTTAGTACCAGGTTGTTATCATACCAGCATTGGGTCTTGCTCGTTCTTTCGCTTCCCGTCTGATGAAAGGACCAGGAGTGGCTGGATCAAGTTAGCTACCTAGCTAGTAGCTAGCACGTTAGTTAGCATTACAGCCTTGTCATTTTTATTAGCCTTAATATCAAGTAACATTAAGTAACACAAAATGTTAAACAGTAAGAGTAGTAGTCATATTTCGTGAACCCTTTGAAGAGTACTGTCACCGGTGTGATCATTCTATAATACACAATTTAAGCCCGGGGGAGAAATGCTAACGCTAGCATCGGTGATCGCCGATGTTTTCTACTTCATGCTATCTGCACAAATGGTTGACATTAAACATTAAAAAGACCAGGCAGTTCAGAGAGAATCAAAGGAAGGCAGGCAGCTTTGCATGACATTCTTCTGGACGTGTTTCATTGTGGTGATAGTGAGGGTAGTCAATCGTTTTGTTGACAAGACAGTAGTGACGGCCATCTTGGTGACGTGTGTTGTTCTGCGAGACCAGAGATGTAGTTCATTAAGCGTGTCACCAGTGGAGAGCCGTCAGGGCCCTAAGGGCCTAAGATATTCTAAAAAATAATATTTGAAAACATTAAAAAAAAAAACATTTTTTTTTAAATATTATTTTTTACATTTTGTTGTTGTTACATTTTTCATTAGTTTTACCAACATAACTTGATTTAATTGTATTTAAAATAATATTTCCAAAGAAATAAATCCTTCGAATCTGCCTGTTCAGTTTCTGTTGGAATGTGAAGGGTTAAATGCCGTCTCTGCGAGTTATGTGAAGACGGGAGGGCTTGTTGGTCCCTCTCTACATTCACAGAGGGCCAGCTATAGTAACTCAACGAGAGAGTAATGTCAAATGACAGTACAATTGACCAATCATATCTTCCCTCTAAATGGGCGGGCTTTATTTTCGCGGACTTTATGACAGGTTCCGCCCGCTGTGAGGTCTATGCAAGAGGTGCAGTGACGCGTCCTAAAACCCCGAAGTAAGCTTCGCTCGGATTCCCTCGACAGAAAGCAGTGGGATTTCTCCATAGGGTTTTGGAAAATAGCTTGAAATAAGGTCTGTGGAAAACGAACCTGTTAGATAAAAGCACGTTTTGTTCAGCCGGATAATATCCACATGTCTACCCTACTTTTATTATTTTCGAATCATAAATCTAAACGATAGATTTATGATGGATAGATTTATGATTAGCATAAGTTCGTTCATGATGGCTCATGTCAGTGATAGTGAGGACATCGTTGCGAAATTATTAACAGAGTCATTTTCAAGATTGAGTTAGCCTCTTTATGGTTAGCCTACAATGATAAACTGGAGTGGCAAAGGATCAGCTACATGACCCGCAAGTGCTTCATCCAAAAGGACAGGAGGATGGACTTTGTGTTTAAGTGATTTGATCATCAAAGGTAGGCCTAAGTCATTTTCAATGTGGGCCGCCGTGCCGACTAAATTCATTTGTAATTGTTACTTGGCTGTGGGTGCCCTGTCATGATAGGTGTTTATATAAATGGTGTTGTTCTGTGTGGTAGAGGGTCGCTGTCATTGATGCGTTTTGCACCCCGGGCCGCTGTTTTGATATTCCGCTGAAGTCTACGTTGTGACATAATATCTCTTCTTTTCTTTCGAGTGAAGGGGGGGGGGGGGGGGGGGGGGGGGGTCAGAGGGCCTAGGTATAAAAGTCACGGCTCGCCACTGCGTTTCACACACACAAATGTGTTACATCTTAACACTTTTTTTTGTGTGAAGCACTCAATGAACTACATCTCTCATCTCCCGTCTCGCACCACACACCAAGACGGCCGTCACGTTGGCACATTTCACTTCTTTCTTAATTCAGAATTAGGCGAAAAGTATTAAAAAGGTGAAAATCACTCCAAGTCTGGGCGTGTTGAGAGCTGTACACACACACAAGGGGAGTTATTAGGCTTGTTTGAGACAAGCAAGACCTGCGCAGACCTGCGCAGTTGCGATCAACGTCTTGCTAGTGCGTTGCATGATGGTTAGTCATTTTGTCCGACTTGCTCTGGAGGCCCGCCCACATGAGACTTTGAAATTTTGCGGGACAAAGACGCCCGCAGCCTTGAGAGCGAGGCAAGGCGAGTTGGCGCAGTTGCTCTCCACGGGCTGCGGAAGCTAAATGCTTGATGGGGAAACGGCTCGCTGGTATCTCGAGCTGAGCGCTCATTGGTGGTTTTTACCACGTGCTGCTGATGAAACTCTCCAATTGGCTGGCAAAAGTTTGTTGTTGTTTTGTGTCAGTTTTACGTCGCCACATCCATTCCCATTTTTCATCATTGTTCCACAATGTTTATCATCATGAAATTAATATCTATATATTTTATACTATACTGCTTACCGTTTTCATACTTTATATATCTTAGCATATTCATACACACTGTTCATACTGCTCACAGGCTGATATCTAGTGTATTCATACCCCTCACTGTTTATTCATCATTTAATTCATTCTATATTTTATTCTGTATATTGTGTACATTACTTTTCACTTTACTGCTTGTTGCACCTGGTTAGAAGCTAAACTGTATTTCGTTGTCTCAGTACCTGTAATATGTGCAATAACAATAACGTTGAATCTAATCTTGAGCAGGAACAAATGTATTTACTTTGTACATATCTGACATTAACGATTAAACACATGTGTGCATTCTTTATAAATGCAAACCGAGTCAAGCCGACTCCGGAGGTGGCGGTATGCACCTTAAAGTTGTTTGCAATCCGCCAAAAAACGGAGAGAAGAAGAAGAAGACGAAGCCGACTCCGAGCTGTCCGACTTCAGGCGAGCTTTTTGAGACCTCCCCCGGCTGCGATCGGCTATTCTCGTCTACTTTCGAGGCGAGCCGCAACGCGTCTCAAACAAGCCTAGTCAGTTCCGTAAGAGCCAGCATGCGGGACCGGGACTCTGGGATTTGTAGTCTTTCTAGTTGCGTATTTTTCATAGTCTTATATTTCAACAGTTTTACGACAAACTGTGACTTTTTTGACACGGAAATAATTTTTTAAGATTGACAAACATCATGTGTGTAATTCGTGGCACAATTAAAACGTGATCGAAAGATACGTTTTCTCTCCCCATTGACTTCAATATATAATTTTTCCGAAATAAGGTCCCATGGACCGGAAGTAGATGGGCGTGTGGATTGGCTTCTCCACCAGAGCTATCGCCTGTGAATCTAATGTTTTATTTCACTCCATTAGCCAAAAGCTGCACAATAATAATACAAAGTATGGTAAACATGACGGGGTCGGTATATGGGATATTGTAATTTAAATCCGAGTTCATGTAAATACAGAGCTTTCATTTGTAACTTTCTGATAAAAGTAATGATGGCTGTGGATTGAAAACCGGAACATGGAGAGATGAGAGTCGGTGAAAAGTGAAAGGAAAGGAGATGAAATGAAAAGAAAGAAAGGAAAGATACAAACCGCGCATTTTCAGTGCGTCCAATCACGTAGAAGCAGGGTTCCCCCTGTTTAGAGTTGGTCATACAGAGAGACAGGCTGGACAACTCCACTGAGGAAGAGGAAGAGGAAGAGGAAGAGGAAGAGGAAGAGGAAGAGGAAGAAGAAGAAGAAGAGGAAGAACAGGAGAAAGTAAAAGTACAAAGTCAAGAAAATCCTAGAGCTGTGATTGGAGGATTTCAGGTTCAGAGAGTTGGGAAGTGAGAAGAGGTCCAGCTGGATTTTTACTGAACTATAAATTGTAATTTTTTTTAATGAATTAAAGACTATACATGTCTTGTTTTTCAGATTAAATAGATGAGAAACTTGTAATTATACTGCTATGTGAGACATCAACTCAACGACATGCAGTGGGGTTTGAACCTGTGCTCCCCTGATCCGAACACCAACGCACTAGTCCACTGCGCCACACGCCTCCCTCAGGTACACACTTAATTCTACAATGAGTAGGATTTGTTGGTTCCTGTAAACGTAACACTCGGTGTCCGCTGCCAGTGTTTGAAACCTCACCGTAGTCGGGCACGTATCCGTTTCCTTTCTTGAGCACGAGGTGGATTCGATGTCCTCCTCTCCTGATCTGCTCCACAGCCTGACTGTGGGTCATCCCTGATGTGCTGTCTCCATTAATCTCCACCAGCTGGTCCGATACCTGAGCCAGGAGGGGAAGAGCAGAGAATATTCCATTAGAAATAATCTGGTGCCAGCAAATCGTTGCCATTTGGCTCAAAAGTCCAAAAGTGATGAAGGATTTGTTTCAGTTTTCCCCTATTATCAGGCGTTTGTCTTTAATTTGAGACTTGGGAGTTGTAAATGCAGTCTGTAGGGGGCGCTAACAGCACATCTGGACCTTGACATTTCGTATTTAAAGCAGAGAGCAGAGGAAGAAGCTCAATGTTGAATGTTTGATGCTCAGAGTCTCAAAGCTATATAAATAAACATTGATTGATTGAAAGCTGCTGACAAAAATGAGATCCTAAAAAAGTCATGAATAAATCATTTGTTTGAATACCATAAAGGAGTGTCTTGGTCTCAGGATGCTTTACATCGATAGGGGTGTTAACGAGTGTTTCACCACTAAAGTGAGTTTTGTAAAACAAGATTAGAGTCTTCAAATTTTGATCTGGTTCTCATTTAAGTTTTATCTGATACTTATATTTACCAGGATACTTTGCAACTTCTACAGGTGCACCATAGAGAGGATCCTGACCTTCTACAGGTGCACCATAGAGAGGATCCTGACCTTCTACAGGTGCACCATAGAGAGCATCCTGACCTTCTACAGGTGCACCATAGAGAGGATCCTGACCTTCTACAGGTGCACCATAGAGAGGATCCTGACCTTCTACAGGTGCACCATAGAGAGCATCCTGACCTTCTACAGGTGCACCATAGAGAGGATCCTGACCTTCTACAGGTGCACCATAGAGAGGATCCTGACCTTCTACAGGTGCACCATAGAGAGCATCCTGACCTTCTACAGGTGCACCATAGAGAGGATCCTGACCTACAGGTGCACCATAGAGAGGATCCTGACCTTCTACAGGTGCACCATAGAGAGGATCCTGACCTTCTACAGGTGCTCCATAGAGAGCATCCTGACCTTCTACAGGTGCACCATAGAGAGGATCCTGACCTTCTACAGGTGCACCATAGAGAGCATCCTGACCTTCTACAGGTGCACCATAGAGAGGATCCTGACCTTCTACAGGTGCACCATAGAGAGCATCCTGACCTTCTACAGGTGCACCATAGAGAGCATCCTGACCTTCTACAGGTGCACCATAGAGAGGATCCTGACCTTCTACAGGTGCACCATAGAGAGCATCCTGACCTTCTAGAGGTGCACCATAGAGAGCATCCTGACCTTCTACAGGTGCACCATAGAGAGGATCCTGACCTTCTACAGGTGCTCCATAGAGAGCATCCTGACCTTCCACAGGTGCACCATAGAGAGCATCCTGACCTTCTACAGGTGCACCATAGAGAGGATCCTGACCTTCTACAGGTGCACCATAGAGAGCATCCTGACCTTCTACAGGTGCACCATAGAGAGGATCCTGACCTTCTACAGGTGCTCCATAGAGAGCATCCTGACCTTCTACAGGTGCACCATAGAGAGGATCCTGACCTTCTACAGGTGCACCATAGAGAGGATCCTGACCTTCTACAGATGCACCATAGAGAGCATCCTGACCTTCTACAGGTGCACCATAGAGAGGATCCTGACCTTCTACAGGTGCACCATAGAGAGCATCCTGACCTTCTACAGGTGCACCATAGAGAGGATCCTGACCTTCTACAGATGCACCATAGAGAGCATCCTGACCTTCTACAGGTGCACCATAGAGAGGATCCTGACCTTCTACAGGTGCACCATAGAGAGGATCCTGACCTTCTACAGGTGCACCATAGAGAGGATCCTGACCTTCTACAGGTGCACCATAGAGAGGATCCTGACCTTCTACAGGTGCACCATATAGGATCCTGACTGGCTGCATCACGGCCTGGTACGGCAGCTGCACCGCCCTCAATCGTAAGGCTTTACAGAGGGTGGTGAAAACTGCACAGAACATCACCAGCTGCCATCCATGGAGGACCTTTACTCTCAGCGGCTCAGGAAGAAAGCCCTCAGGATTATAAAAGACCCCCATCACCCCAGCCACAAACTGTTCTGTCTGCTGCCGTCTGGCAGGCGCTACCGCAGCATCCGGACTAAAACCACCAGACTCAGGGACAGTTTCATCCCGCAGGCAGTGAGACTGTTAAACACCTGAACTGTTGAAACAACATCCATAACATTCATCTGCTACTTAGTAATTATTTATCTATTTATCAAATATATCATTCCAATAACTTGCATATAGACTCTTATTTCACTTATTAAACTATTTTTCTTTTTGTATTTTGTATTTACTATTTACTATTCACTATATTTGTTCTGTTTATCTGTGTTATTGTGTTGCACTGTTGGAGGAGCCTGTGGCCTAAGATTTTCATCGGCATAACTACACTGTAGCTATGTTCGTATGACAAAATAAAGAACCTTGTACCTTCCCAAAACCCCACCAACGCCATTTGAAACGATGGAGTTCAGTTGGTTTTCTTTGGGACCTGATTTAAAGTATGAAAAGCCTTCCTGTGAGGAGACCTGATTCTGGCTTTTACTGTGAAGGAGTTTGCAGGAAGTGATGAGTTAAAGTGCGTGTGTGTGTTTGTGCGTGTGTGTGTGTGTGTACCTGTATCTTGTTGCTGCGTTGGGCCGGCCCCGCCTCCATCAGTCCCAGTACATACAGCCCCATGTTGTATTCGCTGCCCCCCCTCAGAGAGAAACCAAAACCTGTAGGACCTCGATCCAGATCCACGCTGTAGAACCTGGACTCCTCCTTACACAGACACACAAAAATGTTAGTAAAATATCTGAAAAACTATTAGTTAAATATCAACAAAAAACATGAAAACTACTAGTAAAAAATATTGGAAAAATATTAGTAAGTTTCAATAAAATAAAATAAAAACTAAACTCTATTCAACTATTTCAAAAAGTGACTATGGTGCATTTTTATACCATCCATCACACCAAGTGAGTACTTTGCCGTACTTAGTTCCCAGCACTTAGTACCCCCATGGAACTAAGAGCCGATCGCGTTCACACCGGAATAAATCCCTGAGGGAAGATTACGCAAATGAAGCCGCTGACGTCACTTCTTCTTCTTCTGCTTTGGGTTTACTGGCAGGCCGCAAACCACTTCATGGCGTATACTGCCGCCCGGAGTCCCCGGCCGGAAGTCCCCGGAGTTAGGGACTGGCTTCAGTAGAAGCTGCTGGGATTCGCCAGAACGCCGACACCTCCTCATCTCCACCGCTCCCATGTTTTCTTTTGTGTTGCCATAAGTTAGTCTCCCTCCGTTGGTGTGCAGGGCTGATGCTAATGCTAATAATGCTAATGCCAGCAAATACAATGGCGGCTTCAAAAAACTTATCAGAGTTTTACGGGGCGTGGTTTGCAATTCTCCCAGCCAATCAGAAATTGGCCACAGCAGGCACTAAACATGGGGGTAAAGGTTCTCTGAACTAAGTTCTCTTTTTGGTGTGAACGCAAAATTCCAGGCACTAACGGAACTAAACGGGAAAAGTACTCCGGTGTGAAAGCGCCTTATGTGTTAGAGTCAGTGTCAGCAAAATATTTATATATATAAAGTAATAAGAATAACGGTTTAAGTAAGCAGTTCAATTTCAAACAATTAACCGTCAAGACTGACCTTCGGCCTCCCTCTGGATCCCTTCATCACCCGGCTGTCGATATCCAGATCTGCTCCCTCTGACACGGTGGACGAGTCTAAAAGAGAAATATCAAATGTTGTTACGGATTAATTTTACAATCATTTTTAGACAATATTACTTTTTTTCACAAATCAAAGAAGAATGTATGAACGACTTCATTTTAGTCCGTTGACAGAATTAAAGTTAACACAATTGTCGATCAGCGTCTTAAAAGTTGTAGTAGGTTCCTGTCTATACACTTTGTGTAACTTGTTGTTGGTGTTGTTGGACATTCAAAATATCTCTGAGATGTTTGGTTAATAATCGTCTTTCTCTGTTTTACTATGTGTTTAGTTGCTGTTTGCTCATTTAGTTCATCCATTGTTCTGCTTTTATTGGAAAGCACGTTGTAACTGTGTTTGAGAGTAGAGCTTTGATATACAGTATTATATTGGTATCTTGATATGAGACTAGATAACCTCTTAGTTTCGGGATGAGCAATTCTAAAGTGATTTAAAAGTTAATAGATGTTTTTATGTTGGGCAAATAGGCGAGGCTGCTACACCCTGATTTTAATGTGTTTTATATTATTTTATTAGTGTGTGTGTGTGTGTGTGTGTGTGTGTGTGTGTGTGTGCGTCTGGTCTTCAACCTTCCTACAGTTTCCCACACAACACCGCTCCTCCGCTCCCTTCACTGACTTCCAGTAACTGCTAGAATCCACTTCAAGACAATGGTACTTTCTTACCATGCTGCGAATGGATCTGGCCCTTCCTACATCCAGGACATGGTTAAACCGTACACCCCAGCATGTGCACTCCGCTCTGCATCAACCAAACGACTCGCTGCACCCTCGCTGCGAGGGGGACCCAAGTTCCCATCAGCAAAAACACGTGGGTTTGCTATACTGGCTCAAGAATGGTGGAATGAGCTCCCCATTGACATCAGGACAGCAGATAGCTTACACATCTTCCGGCGCAGACTGAAAACTCATCTCTTTCGACTCCACTTCGAGCGATAGAATTACTAACAAAGCACTTATATACTAATAAAGGACTGGCTTATCTAAAGCCAGTTGAGTAGCACTTGAAATGTTTTCGCTCTATGAAGCCTGATGTACTTATATGATTCTGTTTTCTTCAAGGTTGTGTCTTCTTGGATAAATGCACTTATTGTAAGTCGCTTTGGATAAAAGCGTCAGCTAAATGCAATGTAATGTGTGTTTGTGTGTGTGTTCGTACGGTGTCTGGGAGTGATGCTCAGTCTCAGGGTGTTCCCGGCTCTCCTCAGGATCTGGGCGAGGTCTCGGTGCTGCAGACCCCCGACGGCCCGGCCCTCCACCGTCTCCAGTTGGTCTCCAGGCTGGATCTGACCGCTGCGAGCCGCCGGGCTGCCGCGACGCACCGTCACGAACCGGTGAGACAACAGGGAGGGGGCTGAGGAGAGAGGGGGGTTACATGGTCAGACATCAGGGAATAATACTGAAGTACAGCTGTCCACTAGTAAGAGAGGCAATACAAACAATTGCAACTATCAAACCAGCTGCTGGAGTCAGAGATCTACAGTACGAGGCCCCGGGGTCACAGTGTAAACGTGACTGGAGTTACATCACATGGGCCGCTGAGAGGCCGGCAGGTGGGCTGACAATATTACATCGTATACCTGAAACTGAAAACAAGAGGATTCACAAGGCTACAGACACCTGTGAAGAAATGGAGCTGTGTACATTAAACATATTTGAAATGGTTTTGGTTGGATTAAGACCATTTTATTAGAATAACTGTATTTTGTGAAATAAAATCTGATGTGTTGCCGTTTAAAAAAAAAGGCAATACAAAATGCAAACAGCTACACATAAAACGTCAAAAAGATAGCCGAAATGACCTCAAAGACTCTCAATACGTCCACAAATAGACTTTAAAAAGACCCAAAAGGAGTAACTGTAACTTAAAAAGTCCATAAAGATACTTAAATCGACCTCAATGAGACTCAAAACTTCATCAAAGACTCAATACTAACACAAAGAGACTTCAAACGTCATCAAAAAGATTAAAAAAAACGACACCAAAGGCACGTAAAATTACCAAGATAAACAAAATGACCACAAGCAGACTCAATACTAAACTCAATACTAGCCTCAATAGTCAACCCAGTCTCACGGCATTTCGTGTTCACCAACACGATTTTTAATCTATTGATTCGTGTTCACCAACACGGTTTTCCCCTTTTTTTCGTGTTGCACAGCACGATTTTAAAAGCAATGTATTTCTACTGGTAATGACGCTCATGGAAGCACGGCATTCGTTTGTGTCGGCTGCCCTTAAAGGCAATGTGAGCGTCCATTCTCATTGGATAACGGAGAATTGTACACCCGGAAGTAAGTATTCCCCTTACTGTCGATTGATTTTACAGTGATATCTGCACTACTCATCGACTAAAAAACACCAGATTATCCTTGTTAATTACACAACATTGATTGGTTTAAATTGTGTGCAATGCTTTTATATTTTTCCCTTTCGATTCGGAGAAACAAATATTTTTTCGGAGTAAAGGATGGCAGAAGACACTACCCAGAATCCCCAGCTATCGTTTGGACTACACCATGTGCTCTGTTTGACGTCACCTGATCTTCAAATTTCTCCCTGCAGAAAAAAAAAACATGGCCGAACTTCGTTTTATTCTCGGTGGAAAATGCCTATTTTAAAGTTAGTTTGGCCATTAAAATGCGTTTTGATGTCATTTGATGCGAGAAATATGAGTTGTTATTTCAGATTATGTGTGCAGTGGATGTACATGATCTTTAGTTTGCTAGTTATTACGAAGATTACTTCAGGAAATTGCGTCCATAGAACGTTTTCATTGTTACCAAGGTGGTTGCTAGGGACGCTGCTATCGATATTATTTCTGTTATGTTGTGTAACTGTTTAATGGTGTTATCTTTATTGCTACCCCCTTCCCCGTCAATGTATAGTGTTGGTCCACAGCGCAAACGTATTAGTTTAACAAACTCCGCATCTAAAGATACGTTATTTTCCCCTGTGCAATTTCAGTCTCACATCTCACAGCACATCGTCATTAACAAATACCGGAAACAGACCGAAAACATTTAAAAAAAAAAAAATAATACTTTATTTCGAGTGTGCTTGCTTTTCTCTTTGGAAGTCATCACATAACGGCATTGTAATACACGGTTCGGCTGCATTAAATATTACATATCTGCCGTAGTTCTGTATTTATAGAGCCCTGATGAGAAGACTTCTAGACAAACATGAGGAACTGAAAACGTGACGTGGATCATAAATATATCAGCCATTAAACAACATTATTTTCACACAATACGTCTCCTTGCGGTATCAACACTAATTCGGCTGACTTTTATATTTGATACAATTGGTAGATAGGCTGTATTTACACCATAAAGGTGCACAGCTGATATAAAGGGACACCTAGTGGTTAAAGCATGTTATTGAATTTCATTATTTTTATTATTACATATTAATAGGATCCCTATAAAGTATATTAATTACTCGTTATTCTCTACTAATAGTTAATTAAAGACTGTATATAATGACTATTTTGCACATCTATTTCAAGATTTTCTAAGGTTTATTGACATATCATATAGGCCTACACAACTATGGTGTAGTTATGCATTGAATGAAACACTTGGGTCGCAGGTTCCTCAATAGTGCATTAAAAGACATCTATCAATATTTGTGCATACCTCCAGCAATGTTAACTATGTTGAAGCACTTATTTTAACTGATATTATACATAATGTATTATACTCTTATAAGATGTAGATATTTCATCTCCGGCCTTGTCAGTCAGGTATTGAACAATCAATAAATAAAGAACACAGAATTGTTAAATATAAAACACAGAATTTGTGTGATTATACTAAATGATTTACAAATAAACACCACTGCATATTTACAACTGTTACACATGCTGATGTAACGCAAATGTTCCAACTTGGGATCAATAAAGTATATCTTATCTTAAGCTGATCGATGGCTCCTGCCATATTTGCAAAATTTGCCTCTGAACCTTGACAAGTGCATGTTTCAGGCTTATCAATTAATGTAATGTAATGTTATCAATTAGCAACGGGGGTCACAAACATAAGACCAGCTGTTAAATAAAGCTCTTCTGACCTTAGCTGGCATGTGTGTATATATATTAATGCTGCCCATTATGGGCACAAGCAATTTTCACCCATTTATTAATTATATGTTTTAAATTTGAGTGTTTCCTATCCCCTAAACCTCCAGGGATGTACACAGTTTAATACTGGCAACTTCTTATTATGGGAAATACGAAAACGTCTTTTAAAACTACAACTCCCAGTAGAGACGTGCCATAGATAGAGAACATGTTGCGAAACAGAATAGCCAGCATGTGTAGTTCTGGGGACGGGGTGGGGGAGGGGGGACGCGATGGACCCGTTCAAATCCAGTTTTGGACATTCTGCCGTTCGAGGCTCGGTGTAACCCTCGGAGCACACTCTCCAATCACAGAGCTTGAGGACTATCACGGGGTTTGTCAAACAGAGCACATGGTGTAGTCCAAATGATAGCTGGGGATTCTGGGTAGTGTAGCGTCTTCTGCTATCCTTTACTCCGAAAAAAATATTTGTTTCTCCGAATCGAAGGGGAAAAATACAAAAGCATTGCACACAATTTAAACCAATCAATGTTGTGTAATTATCAAGGATAATCTGGTGTTTTTTAGTCGATGAGTAGTGCAGATATCACTGTAAAATTAATCGACAGTAAGGGGAATACTTACTTCCGGGTGTACAATTCTCTGTTATCCAATGAGAATGGACGCTCACATTGCCTTTAAGGGCAGCCGACACAAACGAATGCCGTGCTTCCATGAGCGTCATTACCAGTAGAAATACATTGCTTTTAAAATCGTGCTGTGCAACACGAAAAAAAAGGGGAAAACCGTGTTGGTGAACACGAAATGCCGTGAGACTGGGTTGCAATAGTAGACTGAACCGACAACAAAAAGATTCAAAATGACTAAGGAGATTCAAAATCGTAAAAACACTCAAATCTTATCCTTAAAGAGATTTAAAATGACCGACAGGATGTGTAAAAAGAACACTAAGTATGAGAATGTCTTCAAAAAGCATCAAACGACCAAAAAGAGATGCTAAGTGATCACAAAGACACTCAAAACCACAGAGACTCAAAAAAAGGCAAAGAAGAGACTAAAAACATCCAGAGGCACAAAATGTCCCAAAAAACAATACTCAACATTTCGAAAAAGGCGCTAAAATTGACCACAAATGGACTCAAAATGTCCATAGATAATCCCTACGTTGTTTGCCTTTTTATTAACAATTTGAATTCTACTACAGGTAAAAACTACCGAAATAAAAGCTGGAATAACGAAGCCTGGGAGTAGCCAAAGGGAGGGAAAAACGAAGGCAATGATTTATTATTTTGTGCAGACAAGATGTAATTTGCACCCTCCAAATTCAATCTTTCCCATGTGGGTTAAATTCCTGCTTCAACAGAATTATAAATATGGAAGCATTAAAGGTGACATGTCATGCTTTTCCGGTTATTACCCGTCCCCTTGTGTGTTATGAAGGTTTTTATGCATGTAAACGGTTGCAGAGTCAAAACCCTCAAAGTACACCCTGTAGCGAGTAAAACTCCCCAAAACGCCTCGTTGGAGATACGTCACTGTCCATTTGATTCTTCCGGGTACATCATGATGTCATGTCGTCCCCGGAACGAAATGGACCAATCCGTGGAGCCGTTACGTTACGTCCGCGGAGCCGTTACGTTAAGCCCCCGCTGATTGGTCCAAATTGACCAATCCACAGACTTCCTCACACACTCAGTGCAGGCAGCTCTGCTGATTTCTCCTCCCTGGCTGCAGGCTGATAACAGACAGTTGGGATCGCGGCGAAATTCTCTCTGCAGACCCATTCTCACTGCAGACCCATTCTCTCTGCAGACCCATTCTCTCTGCAGACCCATTCTCTCTGCAGACCCATTCTCTCTGCAGACCCATTCTCACCGCGTTTATCAACCTTTTTCTTACTCAATATCAAGCCACACTTATTGTTTTTACTTCGGCTGTGACTGTGTGTGCTCAGGATGAGTTTGGCTGTGTTTCGCTGTGTATCGCTAAACAAGGAAACAACACCTCCACGGAGCTTAGCGCGATTCACAACGTCCCGACTGGTCCCGACCAATCGGAGCACACTGGGCTCACAGAGAGGGGGCAAGAGCTGCAACGAGCCGTTTAGTGGAGAGAGTGAATACACGTAGTTTACAGAGATGCTGTATGCGAAACCAATGTGAGTTTGGAAAATTGCACAGTATAAATCTATTCTAGTAGACCTCAACAATGGAATTATGATCAGTGGAAATTAGTGGTGCATTCCGATATTAGGAATTATGACGTCATC